GCGTCCGGAGCCTGTGCTCCGCAAATGGGAGAGGCCACAACAGTGAGAGGCCCGCATAACGCCCCAAAAAAAAAAAAAAAAAAAAAAAGTAATGCTATTTAATTAAAGCTATATACAATTATATTGTATAGTTTCCAAACTTGCAGAGGGACTAAAGGATTATTTGTATCAATGCAACAAAGCATAGGAGGGAAGTAAAGTAGCAAACAAAACAATTGGCCAACAGCAATAACCAAAAAAAATAAGCTTGTAGAAAGAATCCCAAAGATAAAAATAATAAAGATAAATGTAACACTTTTTAACTCTTTCTTAAGTGACAGATTTATCAGATTGGATTTTTAAGGAAAATCTAACTGTATGCTAGTTATAATATAAATGTCTAATGAAAACTATCCTGAAAGTATGTACTTTACAGGATAAGACAGTTTTCATTAGATATTTATGTATGTACTGGTATGAAAAGGCATACCATGCAAATACTACCAAAAATGAAGGTTGTAGCAATATAATAGGGTTAAGACCAAAAAAACAAACATTAATACAGATAAAGAAAAACAGTACATAATAAAAAATAAAACTTATAATAACCATAACCTTATTACTAAGAACATTGATTTTAAAACACAAAGCAAAAAAAAAGACTGAATTATGAGAAAACAATATGCAAATCCATAAACACAGAGGAATGTTTGACTGCACTTCTCTTAGAAACTAATACATCAGACAAAATTTTTTTTTTTAACGTCAAAGGCTTCTGCTTCCAGGGCAGCAGCTGAGTTGAGGGTGTTTCTCTTTCCTCCCAAGGTTATAATTCTATTCCTGTTTTTCTGGCTGTTTCTATCTAGGAAAAGTTGCACACGAGCTGATGCAAATTCACATTAAATGGACCTAACTCCTTTATTTACTGATGACATAGAAGCTAATTTTTCTTACAGAAACAGATGTTGTAGCATAGAACGCCTAGGTTGAACTGAAGGACACGCTACATGTACAATAAATTTTAAAAGTTCTCACCAAGTCATGAGATTCTAAACTAGGAATGGAAGGCTTTCACTCCAGCTATAGGTCTGTAAGATTCAACATACCCTAGCTCCTTGAAAAGAAAAAATGTTAACGGCACTCAAAAAAAATCAGTAGGTCAATTCTGTTCACAGTAGATTCCACAAATTAAGGAAATAGTGCGTAAAAGTGAACTCTGGGCAAACTATTTATATACCTACAAACTGCCTATTTACCCCATTGTTGACCTAAAACAAAGACGGGTTTATTCATTTGGGATCATCAGAGAACTGTGATTCGGTGTCTGTAACCATGGTGAGCCATGTGCAAATTCTCACACAGCAAGAAAAGGAGAAGGCTTTTATTGAGGGGGAAAAGGAAGTTGGAGGGCTACAGTAAACAAAGAGTCCCTGACTTTCTATTCACGGAGTCTTCG